TGTAATGGAAGGCTGTGTTTTGGTTTAGAAATGGGGTTTAATTAATGTCATTATCAATGTATGATTAAATTAAAATAAATCGCAATAGTGATTTGGAACAATTACTGGCTCGCTCTTGTACGTGTTGTTTTCTCATTCCATGTATTTATTGTTGGTCAATATATGACATTGCACTTGGATGGCTCTTTCGTTTGTATATATTTCATTCACATGTGGACCCTAACAAATTTTGAACTTTGTACATCCACAATTGCTCATATTATTTCTTAAAAATGGAACGGGAAAAGTATAGAGCTTTTGTGTGAATCTAAAGTAACTTTCTTTATTACTAGTTATTGACCTCATTCAGCCTGTCTTTATGATTTTAATCATTCATATACGGTATACCTACAAGATTTATTTTTATGATATTGGGTCCTAGAAAATGAGATTTATTGTAGAAAGGGGGAATTTTTACTTAGTTTAGACCTAGAAGAAGTCATTCATTCATTGTCTTTCTGTTTTTGGGTAATCATCAAATGGGGAGTTGTTTATTTGCTATTAGGTTACCAACAGGCCAACTTGAGATGATTGAATGATAGTTTCTTGTTGAAGTATTTTGTTCTCTTTTGAGTGTGGAGAGTTAAGAGTCCTACATAAAGAAAATGTGAAAGTAAAAAATGACTCAAATATGTTAAAGGAAAGGGTGGCTCAAATAATTGATTTTTGTGTGCTAATTGCTGACCAAATAAAGCAGTACTAATTGATTTAATATAGTGGTATGACAATTTGGATATCACAGGATGTTAGTTGTCCTAAAACAACTGTGTTTTTGTGAACAGGGGCATCGTACGTTTATTTAACTTGTAGTTTTCTATACTGACATGAGAGTGAAGCGAGTGCTGCATTTTTGCAGGTTGTGCTACCATCTGGAAAAGATGTTATTGAACTACAACAACCACAAATTGATGCCATACAAAAATGTTGTTGACGCGACTTAATTGTCTCAGGCATTGCTCCTCCAGAGTCCGGATTTGATTTCATTAGCCAAGTCTTCTTCCCAAGGGAAGGTACATCAATGAGGTAATACACAGCAATCCAGGTCTCTGATTTTTCCTCTTTTTTTTTTTCTTATCTTCTAACTTTTAAGCACCTATGATAACTGAACTTATTTAGATGTAACACCTTGTGTTTTAAGTTTTAACCTTTGTTGGCATGGACACAACATAAAGACATATTATCTGGCCCCTGGAAGGAAAATTTGTTTATAAATTGCCGAGAATGTCTCCAAAATCTGCAAGTATCAAAAGTCTGATAACTGAAACATAGATGCTACTGTAAATAACAAAATAAGATATATCAATTCAGCTTCAAGTTCCAATTCAGTGTTTGGAATTGGGAATGAATGCGTATGCATGTATTTAAACTTAAAAGGGCATCTGAGCCTTACCTTGACGCACTGTTGATTCAACCCTTCCTTCCTGAATTGGATCATTTTTTATTGATATATATAAAGCAAAGGAACAGTCTATCAATAGCTGTCTAAAATCATGCTGCGTCGCACTTTTCAGGATCCTGTTTGTGGGAGTGCACATTGTGTCTTGACACCATACTGGAGCCAAAAGCAAGGGAAGTGCGACTTCATTGCTTGTGAGGTATCCTCTCTCTCTCACACACACAACCACACCTCCCACGGACATAGAAATCATAGTTGTTATTAACTGATTATTGTTTTTTATATTGATTGTGTCGTGTATCTTTGCTTAGGCATCACCTAGAGGGGGAATCATAAACATTCATTTGGACAAACATAACCGGAGAGTGGTTCTGAGGGGAAAAACTGTCACTGTGATGGAAGGTTGCCTTCTATTTTACATATGGGGTTTAATGTCATTCTCAATGTATGTAGGATTGAGCTAAAATAAATCGCAATGATAATTGGAATGATTATTGGCTTTACTTGTATGTGTTGTTTGGAATGATTACTATCTCTTTCTTGGATGTGTTGTTTTCTCATTACATGTATTTGCTGTCACTAGATGAGTCTTTTGTTTATTATATCGCATTCACATGTAAACCAAACAAATTCTAAACTTAGTAAATCCAGAATTGCTCTAATTCTTAAATTGGTGCGGGAAAAGTACAGAGCTTTTGTGAGAATCTGAAGTAATAGTCCCTATGAAGAGCCAACTCAAGCCGAAGACGATCAATGAAACTTGGTCATGACCATCAATCTTCTTTAACTAAATCAAAGGAGTGAAGTGTAACTAATTTTCTAGACCAGTCTTGGAACGTGGAGGAGCAGTAAGGCATCAATTAAGTCAAGGCGATGTATGTGCGTGATGCAATCCCAACACGGTGAATCATGCAAAATA